TTTTATCGGTAATTCTTTATAAGTTGGAGTTTTTCTTTAAAATTGGCCTACACGTCAACCAAAAATGGGAACGGAATACAAAACATTCGGACGCCCCTCTCCCAAGTTGCGTGGGCTTCTTCAAGGTGTTCTAATGATAACGACACATGTATTTCATTTTACTAAGTTAAAGGTAACTCAACCGACACGATTTCGCAGTTGATGCATTTAGACTTCTGAGCAAACGGGGGTACCACCAACAGCGAACCTGACTGTATTCGGTCACTCATGGGGCGTAGATGACACAAATAATGTTACGAAGAACGCGTCAGCCGAAATCCTTGTGACAAGACCACATTCCCTTTTTTACTTCCAGAGAGACGGTAGTATTGAGAAGCTTTCATAATTGATGTATGAGAAAGCAGTCTGTGACAAAACGACGAGAAACAAGGTACAACTGTTTCTATCCTTGTTGGGAATCATTAAGTTGCACCTAGTGGTTGCAGAATTTAACCGTTCGGCCCCGGTCGGTCAACAAACAGCCAGATTTATCCACACTTAATCATGATGTAACGCTGCCCATTCTTCAATGAAGGGATTCACACAACTGACCTTTGACTCCTGGGCTGACCAGTGTCCTAGTTGAAAATCCATTTTTCGTATGGACTATTGTTCTTCTGAACTACATACAGTCATTTAATAGTGTAACAATGTTTGAAATTTTACGATTTATTGGAAATCTCCTTCAATCTCCGTGCGACTTGATTAGAGCTAGACATTTCTCAATAAATTGGCTTGAATTAAAGGACGAGATTTCACTTATAGACGACCAGTACGAGACTTATGATGTAATTCCTCATATCAGAGCTTGACTCACCCAAACAAAAAGATCTTTGTGCTGAGGGAATTCAGGTGGATTTCGATCGTTGTAATCACTTTGATAATGCAATCGAACTTATTCATGTCCATCACACCGGATGGGAAATGGAAACGTGACATTTGGTTAATAACGCCCGCGAAATTGACAGCCGGAATAATCTCGATATCCGGACTCCAAAGTAGCCATTCATTATTCCAATCTGTGGCTGCAAGCTCGTTCGCTCTAACATCGGTTCTAGTGGTCACGTCCAAAGAGGGTTCACATTACTCTAGAGAACATGGTGGCGGTCATATTCCAGTTAAATAAAAGACATTAAACAGGGCATTCAGCTATACTTTTAGGAAAACTAAGCAAAAAGCAATCGTAGTTTGTCCTTCAGATAATTCTGTTGGATTCTATTTCCAAAAAGATCAATAATCGTTCAGCCAAGCACCCATTCAGAGCGTAGTTACAAATGGACCCAGAGGAAGAACTATGGCTGAGCACTGGCAAGTTGCCAAAGCCCAGACAAGGAGAGTTGGAATGCTGTGGTTAGTTTGCAACCCTGGACCATTTGGTCCGTAATTGCACGCTATCATCAGTGAGTTATTTCGAGCTCACGAGGTGTTTTTACTTGTCTTGTGACAGCTCGATGCCGCAGAATTCAACAGTCTCCTCCTCTAGCTGTAGGATAAATATAAGTATAAGAAAATGGTGCTTTACATGGATGCTTGCTTCTCTGGCTCCATCTTCCAGGATATTCTTCCTTCAAATGTGAGAAGTAAGTAGAGTATTTCTTTGAAGTTACACTCGTGGGACTCTTGTGGAATATCCTCTGGAATGTCCTTCACATATGGTTAAAATACAAAACTGGCAAATGAAACAGAGTGAAGTTCAACCGTGGCTCGTTCTTGTTCTCTTCGTGACCCTTGAATGTAGATAGTCAATGAATTTATGCAGGAGACGTTTAGCCTGGGATTGCACAAAACACCATTTATGTCACTTTTGCCGTTCAACTAGTTTCAGCTGGGTGGAGGCAATCACTTTAATACCGGTGAAGCTCGTGTGTTATTTTGGTCGTCTCTTCTGAAGCATTCTACGATTGGACAGATTACAGATTACACATTTACATATTGATTTGATTTTGAAGGGCTGATCCGGCAATTCCCGTCCAGTCTGGTTTCGGGTCACTAAGGTTGAGGGAAACTGGAGGAATACCGCTACCTGTTTAGCCTCAGGAAGCATGAAGACCATGGTGTGATTTCAAAGAGCTTTCGGCGGCCCTCTGAGAAGTCAGTTTTTCCTAGAATTCTCACAGCTTCACAACTTCCGTGAGCCACATTGTCGGGTCGTCGATAATTTACCTCATTATTTCACACCATTTTTGTATTGATATATTCGTTCTGTTATCTTCACCTCCCAAAACTGCAGTCTACGCGACAACATCTGCCAGAGACAATGAGGAAAGCTATGCTACTTTTTGTAATGACAAAAGAATCAAAGATTGTCCAGCGACCGAATTCTCGTATGCGTGGATTACGGATTCGCAATACGTGAGTTCTATCAAAACGGTTGCAGATAAGCCTGCGAGTTTTGGACAGGTAATCTGGTGCAAGTCAGCAACCAGTGGTAGTCCATTCGATTTTCCAAACCACTTATTTGTGTATTTTTATTCGGTTAGCCATACTCCGTTAATAAATCTAAATCTTTGGATGACAGTGTGGGCAGGTGTATTTTGGAGCCAACAAATATCATTGATACTCAGCCCGAAGTTTTATTTCGGCTTCTGGAACTTTTTGCTCGCGTGCAGTGCAGATGTATGCTGCTTAACATCTCCCCAGTCTTGCACATCGATGCTTGCGCCTATTCAGCTATCGTTCAGTTGACGAGAAGGTCGCAGTATATGGCTTACCCGGCAACATATTATTTGACGGTTCTGCTAACGTGAATTTGTCCACTCATCCAAACCATCAATCTCAGAATACATGTAGTACAACAAAGTAGGACATTTCATTTCTAGTTCAGTTTAGCTTGCATAGGGCTGGTCAACCATTTTCATTTTGTTGGCCCTAATTCCTTACAATGGTGCGGCACTTCTTGTGTCACTTGTGATTAATCTTTTATAAAAATTTCAGCCTGTAACTGACTATTCACCACCGATAACACCGACACTGCCATGGCGAACCCAGCGATCACGACCGGCCGAGGGCGGCAAAATGGGGAAACCATTAGTTGGATGTCCGAAATTTCTCCCTGACATCCTGAGCAGATTCATCTCTATCCTTTCAGAGTTGTATGAACGAGGCTATCATAAGTCTGGGCGCTATCGGTGTTACTCGCTCTCTAAGACGGCGACCACTCGGTTCCCACTGTGACTGGTTAAAGACGCTGCAAAGTATGCCTTTGAATCGAAGTTAGTATAGTTTTCGTTATCGTTTTCGATTAGCATCGCCTGAGTGGGTGTCTG